TGTGAGGGTGGTCAACGTTGGGCAGCAGGGTAGCAGCAAGGGGGGGAAGCCATGGTTGCTTGCTTGGGGAAGGTGATGGAGAAGAAGAAGATAAGGAGGGGGCGGGTAGTTTAGTGTTTTAGGTTAGGGTTTTTGTTTTGTTTTTTTTTTTTTTTGTTTTTGTTTTCTTTTTTGTGAAATGTAAGATAATAGGGGTGTTGGGTTATAGACTGGGTCGACCCGATTTAAAATGGACCGGGTCATGGGGAAGGTTGGGCATTTGTTTGGGCCTGGGGTTGAAATTTGAAGAAGTGGCCCAATCTGATTTTTTCTTTGTATTTTTGCTCTCTTTTCTTTTACGTCCCAATTAATAAAACTAAAATTCTAAATTAAATTACAAACTAAATTATCTTAAAAAAAACTAATTAACTCTAAAAATAATTATCGCACATTTAAATAGCAATTATCGACAAAAATCGCACAATTTAGACGTTTAAATGCTAAACATGCAACGTACATTTATTTTATGATTTTTTCATTTTTTTGTAAAACAAACTTAATTACTAACAATTGTAGGATTAAATCCTAAATGCAAATGCGACATATTTTTGTATTTTTTATTAATTTAACAAATAAACATGTGCAGACAAATGCGAATAATTATCCAAAAAATACCACAAAAATTCAAAAAATTGCACACCAAGGAAAATTGTTTTTTTTTGATTTTTTTTTGGAGTGATTCTCATATAGGGCAAAAATCACATGCTCACAGTCCCTACCAAACTAGTAGTTATGGCATAAGACAAGACTCAACTACCTCTTAACCTACAACCCTAATACTCGACCTCTACATGTTCCTATCGAGTGTCATGTCCTCGGAAATATGAAGCATCGCCATATCCTGCCTAATCACCTCCCCCCAATACTTCTTAGGCCACCCTCTACCTCTTCTCAGGCCCTCCGCAACCAGCCGTTCGCAGCTCCTTACCGGAGCATCTGGGCTTCTCCGTTGAACGTGCCCGAACCACCTGAGCCTTGCTTCTCGCATCTTGTCATCAATGGGAGTCACGCACACCTTCTACCGAATAACATCATTCCTAATCTTATCCATCCTACTATGCCCACACATCCACCTCAACATCCTCATTTCTGCTACCTTCATCTTTTGAATATGTGATTTCTTGACCGGCCAACACTCACCCCATACATCATGGTCGGCCTAACCACCGCTTTATAGAACTTACCTTTGAGTATCAGTGGCACTCTCTTGTCACACAATACTCCAGATGCTCACCTCCATTTCATCCATCCTACCCCGATACGGTGTGTAACATCATCGTCGATCTCCCCTCCCCCTTGGATAACCGACCCAAGGTACTTGAAGTTGTCTCTACTCGGGATGACCTGTGATTCAAGCCTCACATCCACACCCACTTCCCTCTGCTCAGTGCTGAACTTACACTCTAAGTATTCCGTCTTTGACCTGCTAAGCTTGAAACCCTTAGATTCAAGAGCTTGTCTCCAAACCTCCAGCCTCTCGTTAACACCAGTTCGCGACTCATCAATCAGAACTATGTCATCGGCGAATAGCATGCACCATGGCACATCCTCTTGAATGTGTGTCAACGCGTCCATCACCAGGGCGAATAGGAACGGGCTGAGAGCAGAACCTTGGTGTAACCCCATAACAACCGGAAAATCCTCAGAATCGCCTCCTACTATCCTAACCCGAGTCTTTGCCCCATCATACATGTCCTTAATCACCAAAATATAGGGAACCGACACGTCTTTTGCCTTCAAGCTTCTCCAGAGAACTTCTCTAGGAACCTTATCATACGCTTTTTCTAGGTCAATAAATACCATGTGCAGATCTTTCTTTCTATCTCTGTAGTGTTCAACCAACCTCCAAATTGGTTGTCAGAAACGGACACTGTCATCCTCAACCTTGCTTCAACCACCCTGTCCCATACTTTCATAGTATGACTCAGTAATTTGATACCCCAATAACTGTTACAACTCTGGATATCACCTTTGTTCTTATACAATGGGACCACCGTACTCCACCTCCACTCATCCGGCATCCTCTTTGCCTTAAAAACAACATTCAACAACCTAGTCAACCACTCCAAACCTGTTTTCCCCACACACTTCCAAAATTCTACCGGAATCTCGTCAGGTCCGGTCGTTTTGCCCCTACTCATCTTACTCATAGCTCTCACGACCTCCTCAACATTGATGTGCCTGCAGTACCCAGAGTCGTTGTGACTCTCAGAATGCTCCAATTCACCGAGCACAATATCCTGATCCCCTACTTCATTAAGAAGTTTTTGAAAGTAAGTCTGTCATCTCCTCTTAATCCGGGAATCTTCCATCAATACTCTACCATCGTCGTCCTTGATGCATCTCACTCGGTCTAAATCCGAGCTTTCCTCTCTCTCAGCTTGGCCAGCCTAAATAACTTCTTTTTCCTTCCTTTTTCCCCTAGTTCCTCGTACATACGACTATAAGTCGCAGTCTCTGTGACCGCCAGCTTCGCTTCCTTCCTAGATACCTTATACCTCTCCATACGCGCTCGCCTCTCCCCCTCAGCTATGCTCCCCAGTAACGTCCGGTACGCCTCCTTTTTTTCTTCCACTTTACCTTGTACCACTTCATTCCACCACCAGTCTCCTTTGTGCCTACCGGAGACGCCTGTCGAGACTCGTAACACCTCTATCGCAGCCTCTCTTATACAATTTGCTGTCGTTGACCACATAGTGTTCGCGTCACCACTGCTCCTCCAAGCTCCTATAATCGACAACCGCCCGTCCAACTCTTGGGCTTTGTCCTTAGTTAAGGCTCACCACCTGATTCTCGGTCTTCCTCGAGTAGACATTTTCCTCCTTTTCACCATAATACCAACGTCCATCACCAAGAGCCTATGTCGCATCACGAGTATCTCACCTGGAATCACCTTGCAATCCTTGCACAACCCTCTGTCATGCCTCTTGAGGAGGAGATAGTCAATCTGAGTCTTCGCCACCGCATTTTGAAAAGTAACCAAATGCTCCTCCCTCTTCGGAAAGCAAGAGTTAGCGACCACTAACCCAAAAGCCTTAGCGAAGTCCAGTAACGAGGTTCCTCCTCCGTTCCTCTCCCCAAAACCGAAGCCTCCATGCACTTCGTCATACACACCTGCGGTCGACCCAATATGGCTATTGAAATCCTCTCCTATGAATAACTTCTCAGTAGGTGGTACCTGACGTATAATATCATCCAACCCCTCCCAAAAGTGCCGTTTAAGCTCCTCATCTAGGCCCGCATGTGGCGCATAGGCACTAACGACGTTTACGGTGCACTGTCCAACCACCAACTTAATAATCATCAATCTATCATTCACTCGTCTAACCTCAACCACAGACTCTCTAAGTTCCCTATCCACCAAAATACCCACTCCATTCTTACCCTTCTAGGTCCCAGAGTTCCAAATTTTATACCCATCCGCGTCCCTTGCACTCGACCCTGCCCACCTTGTCTCCTAGATACACGCTATATTGACCCTCCTCTTCTTGAGGATCTTCGCCAACTCTATAGACTTACCTGTCAATGAACCTACATTCCATGACCCAAAATCCTCAACCGATGGACACCCTTATTCCCTTTACCTCCTTTACATCCCAACCCACTTTCTAGCCCCCG